TGTAAATATTATTCACAATTTAAACCTTTACTTAATGTGGAACACTACTTGTCCTGTGACTTCCTACCATATCCACGGAATGTCAAAACCATGTTTCACTGTAACTTCTTTAGACTTGCAGTGGAAACCGGGCGCCACACAAATACACCTTATGATCAATGTATCTGCCTCTATTGCCACTGGTCTAAACCATAGTTGGTCTAAACTATGCTGAAGACGAGCTCCATGTCCTACTAAATATTCTGAAATAAGAAAGAAGTGTTTTACATTCCATCAGACTCATCCTCCACAAATTGAAACCTTTGTGCATTTAATTACCCGTATTAACATTAAATATATGAAAACAGTAAGTACATTTCTCTCCACTGTGTTAAAATTAAGAAGTAAACCCACCATTATGAAACAATTAATCTTGAATTTTATTCAGCATGTATGTATTATTTATGTTTGCATTTTGTTTGTATTATGGGCCAATGGCCTACATTATTGAGTAAAATGTCTGTCTGTCTAGTCCATGATGGTTTGTTGTTGTCTGTTGTAACATATATACAAAACCAACAAAAGTATTAGTTACAAGATGCTCTTGACAACTGCTCTCATGATATTTGCACAGTTTGGGGCTTTTGTATCTTTCTCGATTTACATGGTAACGATTTGGGCTTAGTTTCAAAATAATTTAATTTAGGAGCACAACTCAAAATAAAAATGAGGCACTTTTCATCCGGGTACATGAATTGACCAAGGGCCCAAGTGGTGCCTTTTGCTATTTAGGAATTTTAAGAAAATGAAATTGTTTCCTGTTTCCATGGCAACAGGTTTGACTTTTACCCTGTCCTTTTATAATAATGGCTTGTAGCTGAGCTAAATAGAAATGTCATTTCATGTTCGATGACTGTACGCCCGTTTTCAACTAACCAATATCAACAAATTTGTCCGTTCATGAACCCTTACATTTCAAAATAACTTTGCAGTTTCGTGCACTGTAAATGTGTCGGCGGACATATATGTATATACCTTCAAATGATGATATGCGAAACATGATCTGAAAATGTGAACGAAGGTCATATAATTATATACCTTCACGTGACGTGTAGATGTAGATGGAGGTCATATATTTTTAAACTGTCACGTGAGACTGACTCCAAAATTGAAATAGCTACGGTAGCATATTAATTCTTTCAAAATTAGAAACAATGTGGATATTTATTTATCAGTTAAATATTATGTTAACATTTTTACCTCGTTTTTACGCATAAATATGTGAATAGCAATGCAGACAGCTGCTCCTGTAATGTGTCTGTCTTATACGACTACTTGAGATAGAGAGCATTTCGTGGGTGTCTGCATAGTGAGTATAACGCAAGTTATATATCTTTCGTAGTTGGATCACACAGGCCTAGTTATTGCGTTTTTTCGAATCGGTGGTTATTAATGACACACTGAGAAGTAGTATTATGTACCACAACTTATGATGATGTTGGGGTTGTATTTTGAGTTAAATGTCATGGATAGCTTGCGGAGCAATCCTTTTATCAAAAACCAGGAAAGCTCTGTGTGTGATTAAGGAGTTTCAACATAATACATACATGTCATTGATGAGTTGCATATATAATCACTGTTAGATCAATGAGGACGTGCGTTGAAACAAGAAGATTAGCTATTGAAAGGCCCGCTTGAAACAGTGGTTGTAACAGACATTACAAGGACTGATATTAAAACAACTCATCATATCTTTCGTTGTTGTTTGGTTTTCGACAAGGTTGTCATAGTGACTACAACAAGTCACCACAGTTCTGTTTGTCAGTAGTTCAAGTTCAAGTTGTATAAAGGTCATTGGTCCATATACACATATTATGACACGTTTACATCGAGCATTAATTACATAGAATGTACATGTATGTTTTATATATGCTACAGATTTCAAACATATTGTTCTCTTCAGATCAAACTTTGACAAACATATCTACATAAATTATTTAATACATCACTACACTTTGAATTCATTAGCTGTCTAAATATGTGAATATTAACGTTGTTGTGATACATACAGGGTAGATAACGCTGTCTTAAATTCCTATAGTAAGTACATACGAGGATACAATGATACTCGTCTTCAATTCCATTGTTGCACAATTGGCACAATTGCTGACTTAATTCAATTCCCAACTTCCTTCCTTCGTTAAGTTTTAATTCTAATATTCCAAACCTAAGTCTTATCATTATATTTCGTTGTTTTTTATTTGTTAATAGAGTGAGATACGTTTCTGGTTCCAATAGGCTTTTATATTGTCTATATACATTATATCGAGAACTTTCTTGTAAAATACCATACCATGACTGTAAATACATATCAACTGCAAGATTCTTAAACATTTGAAGAAAAAAGTGAAATATCACCAACACCTTGAGACAACCATACATACCCAAAACCGTGTGAAAATAGAAGATTACGAACATAAGACTGAAGCATAAGTTGCATATCCACAGTGATCATAATAAAGTAACATGTCATAGGCTTTCTTTGGTATTCAGTAAGTGCCAGTAAGACGTTCCAGCTTACGTACATAAATGTACACAAACAGTATGTTTTAGATTACATGTGACCCATGAAGATTCGGGGTAGAATAGGTCTTCAGCAACCCATGTGCTTGCCATAAAAAGGCGACTATCTTGTCGTAAGAGGCGACTAACGGGATCGGGTGGTCAGTTTCGCTGACTTGGTTGACAAATGTCATCGGTTCCCCATCGGCTCACTCTGTTGATCACTGGATTGTCTGGTCCAGACTCGATTATTTACAGACCGCCGCCATATAGCTGGAATATTGCTGAGTGCGGCGTAAAACTAAACTCAGTCACTCACTCACTCAGATTACATCTGAGGCAATCAATACACAGGAGATACCTCATATTTTTATCAATGTTCAGGCACAGATTAGAGAACAGATTGTTTAGTGACGCCAATATTTCAATACGGCTTGGACGTTGTATGCACATTACATATTTAGATATGTTAGACTGACTGACTGACTGAGTATGGTTTAACGCCGCTTTTAGCAATATTCCAGCAACATCACGGCGGGGGACATCAGAAATGGGCTTCACACATTGTACCCATGTGGGGACTCGAACCCGGGTCTTCGGCGTGACGAGCCAACGCTTTAACCACTAGGCTACCCCACCGCCCCAAATATGTTAGAAATAATAATATATAGCTAAACAATTGAAATATATATGATTTCTATCACCTACCACTACATGTGATACCTGCGCCACACACACATACACACGCACACATATCTCTCTCTCACACACACACACACACACACGTACAAGGGTATAATTAAATATTTCGATTTGACCGCCACATGCATATAATTGTGGGTTTTAACGGGTTATAGTGACAACGAACCCCAGCGAAAACGGACCCCCCCCCCAAAAAAAAATCGAGAAAATGGCCAGAAATTCGTTGCTAAGCTTATGTCCCTGTCCTTCCTCCCACACAATCAATCAGGCCTGTCTTCGCCGAGATCATCAGCAGAGTGAAAGAACATGGGAAGATCCGCGATCTGGCGAACTACGCCGAGAGACAATGGGCCTACAGTGGCATGTTCGGGACCAGGTCCATCTCCTGCCTCAACAAGTCGGTTCGCAAAAACAACCACGTTGAAGGTAATATGTCAAACACATTGCTTAAACACTGAATATAAACCTTTGTTTCAGTTTCGATATTTCAGGAGTATTTAATGTCCCCTTTGTATTTTTAGATTGGCATAGGCGATTAAATCAGAAGTGCTGTGAACAAGCCATCAATATCTATAAAATGACAGGGGTGGATACAGCTTTTTGAGAAAGGACGGGTGCACACTATTGAGAAAGGTGGGGTGGGGGGTGGTTGCAGACTTCATTTTCAGGAGAGTTTCAATGGTAATTTAATAAACTTTCAGGACAAGGGGGCTTAGCAGGGGTGTGGACCTCTGGATCCGCCTGTGACTGATACTCGTGATTCACAACAGAGAGGAATATCCCAGGAAAAGTCAACGGTATGTAGACTTTTAAATCACAGAAAGAACAGAATATGAGAAGTATCATTGTTATTGTATTATGACATTGAATGAGAGGTGAATAAAAATAACATACACTACATGTAGTTTTCTGTTATATATAATGGCCTTTTTCTCTAGGCTTAGGGGCCGTTTTCTCTAGCAGTGGGGGGCGTTTTCTCGTGAGCGGTGGTCGTTTTCTCGGTTATTGTTTTTGGCCAATTTCGCTGGGAGCCGTTTTCTCCGTATCCCGTTTTAACCATCTTTGTCCACAAAACCTCGCACATCGGGAATCCCCAGTAAACGTTATTGTTTATATTGCCTCCATGACATGACGTCTGGTTCCAATACACATAGTCTTTAACATTGCTGTTTCTGATAGTTCTAGTGTCTTATTTCTTTTACATGTACAGGATACCACGGAACAAAGAGAGAATCAGGTACGTGAAACAAGATAAGGCGAAAAGTGTCATAACATTTCAATATGGGATTGAGGATAACTAGAAAACTGGCTGGACATGTTATTGTGTTGTATAAAGAGAAGTACAAACCTGTGTCTTTGATTTGGAAGTGTGGATCATGGTTCGTCACTTGGTGAAACTGTTTTGGCTTTCCTCAAGAAGAGTGAAAGGGTCAAAGAATAGACTCTTCTTTCATTTATTTATATTGCAACTATGTTGAACAAAATGTGAGTGAAATACAAATACAGTAGTAACATTTGAAATAAAGTATCTGTTAAGATGCAGTTATCGTTTCCACACACATGCACATATTGACTATAATCAGATAATTCACATCCAAAGGATGTCAGGCTGATTCAGTACTAACGGCAGGACACTTTGTGAAGTTTGACAAAAAGCAGCGAAGCATGTGATATTTTCTAGTTTTCTCTACACAACAAGAGGCGTTAAGTGCGATGACAGGTCATCAAATAATCTGATAATGGGAGGGCCGTTTCATGATAATGCCATATATTTTAGCTATAACATATGATATTGACCGTTGGGAATCACTGAAAGTGAAAATGTAACTTAAGACAAGAAGAAGGGTATACCGTAAACATGTCCTTGAAAGGAATCTATATAATTGTAATAATATCGTTCTATTCGATATACTTTCGAATGCATAATTAGAACTCTTTATATATAGTTAGCGTGCAAAGAAAAATATTTGGAAAATGCATTAATTGTTCATTACGAATTGCTGATAATTATGCCCTACTTAACACAAACTCAAATTTTTATTCATAGATGAGGTTGAACTGTCTACTGTATCTGGTAAGTACGACAATGCAATACACCTGTGTGTGTGTGAGAGAGAGAGAGAGTGAGAGAGAGAGAGAGTGAGAGAGAGAGAGAGAGAGAGAGAGAGAGAGAGAGAGAGAGAGAGAGAGAGAGAGAGAGAGAGAGAGAGAGAGAGGGGCACATCACCTACTAGTATATCCCAAATAACAATAAAACATACATACAATCTTACATCTTACCAAAGCTGTATATGCTCAATAAACGTTGTGACGGGGTTGTATAAACATAACACAACCGCAAATCTCCCCTAGGGCACCATTGTTTCGATACATAGATAACAATTCATCCGGATATCTGCTGGTCATAATTGTATGGATCACTGTACTGAAAACGGATTGCTGTTTGCAAAAAGGGTAAGCATGTCCTGGTCTGTCGGTAAACACTCACCTAAGTTTCCCAAACTGTGCTAGTAAGTAAGTAAATGTTAAAGCCCCACTCGAAGATCGAACCATGTGATCCCCACTCGAAGATCGAACCATGTGATCCCCACTTGAAGATCGAACCATGTGATCCCCACTCGAAGATCGAACCATGTGATCCCCACTCGAAGATCGAACCATGTGATAGCATAGTACATGGTGTTCACAATCAACTTGTTATGTGCTTTTTTTATGCAACTAATGGACATTTCTTGTGTACTTATCTGTTTAGAATACTCCCGATTGACACATTGTCAATCAGTCTTATAACAGTTGTAGATCATGGTGACACACTTTCAGTAAGTATTCAAAATTCAAGATTCAAAATGTTTATTTGTAGAAAGGCCATATGACCTAAAGTACAAATGATATAACAAAAAAATCTACAGAGCTACTTTCTTTTCTTTTAAACATTTAAATACACGTTAAGAAATTTCACAAGATTTAACAGAAAGATGTTATTATTTGATTGACACAGGTTTCAAACATTATTATGATTACCTCTACTACAATTTAGGATGAAACGCTCTCTCTCCTACCCTCTCTCTCTCTCCATACCCCCTCTCTCTCTCTCCTACCCTCTGTCTCTCTCCTACCCTCTCTCCCTCCCTCCTACCCTCTGTCTCTCTCTCCTACCATCTCTCCCTCTCCTACCCTCTCTCCCTCCCTCCTACCCTCTGTCTCTCTCTCCTACCCTCTCTTCCTCCCTCCTACCCTGTCTCTCTCTCCTACCCTCTCTCCCTCTCTCCTACCTCTCATTCTCCTACCCTCTCTCTCCTATCCTCAATCTTTCTCCTACCCTCCCTCTCTCTTTCTCTCCTATCCTCTCTCTCTATCTCCTACCCTCTCTCTCTTTCTCCTACCCTCTATCTCCCTCTCCTACCCTCTCTCTCCTACCCTCTCTCTCAACTCTCTCTCTCTATCCTTCTCTCTCTCTCCCACCCCCTCTTTTTCTCTCCTACACTCTCTCTATCCTACCCTCTCTCTCCTACCCTCTCTCCCAACCGTATCTCTCCCACCCTCTCCCTCTCTCTCCTACTCTCTCCTACCCCTCTCTCTCTTCTTCCTCTCTCTCTCCCTCTCCTCTCTCTCTCCCCACCTTCTCTCTCCCTACTACCCTTTCCCTCTCCTACCCTCTTTCCTACCCTACCGTCTCTCTCTCTCCTTCTCTCTCTCTCTCTACCCTCTCTCTTTCTCCTACCCTCTCTCTCTTTCCTCTCCTACCCTCTCTCTCCTCTCCTCTCTCCTCTCCTCTCTCCTTCCCTCTCTCTCTCCTACCCTCTCTCTCTCCTACCCTCTCTCTCCTACCCTCTCTCCCTGTAACAAAACATACACAATCATACAATCCATAATTTTCATTCAGCACTACATTACAGTGTATACAAATGAAGGAATGATTACTAAAGACATTTGCCTTACTCAGATATCCACTTCTAAATACAGTTAATACATGTCCGTGCTTATGGGAACTAATGTTTAACAAATATTTTTCACAGTTAAGTAAAGACTAATTCGAATTATATAATGTGAGAGAATCAGTGAAAATAATGCCAGTTCTGATGAGCATATTCTTTTAACACGTTGACTAAAGACATACAAAAATGATAGTAAATATACTAGATTACTATAGCAGTTCCTCTCCTTACGCTTGCCAAAACATGAAGTAGTAGAAACAATTGTGTTAAATTTCAATAATACCACCGCAAATTGCCAAATATTTAATAAAATATTGATAACTATGATAGGTCCATAATACAACGAACCTTGTGAATAAACTAGTATGTCATACAAAGAATGTACCTACAGTCGAACACCGTTGTGTCGAACTCTGATATGATATCTCGGTTGTCTCGACAAGCAAAATTACCCTTTTAACTCGATATTTGCACGTAAAGTCGATATACACCTACATTTCTGGGACAAGTATCCATCTGAACTGTGACTGTCTCCATGTGTTTACACACACGCTGCGGCATGAATCACAGGTAGCGGAAGTGTAAGCTAATTAAGGCTAATTGAGTTGTAGGTGTCACTTGATTGTTTATCTAACTAGGATGTACCCCCAATTTCAACTTAACACTCCTGATAACGGATTATAGTATCGAATCTAAACATAGTGAGAATCTAATCAGGGACTTGTGTCATCACGTGACAAGCAATTGATTGCTGAGTTGTTACTAAATTGCCGACTGAGAAATGCGGATTAGGAGTCAATTGTCGTCCTGACTCGATTTGTGGAATCGAGAGATGGAGGTCGAATGACACAAGGACTTGTTATGTATCAAGAGTGGTTGACTAGTATTGCGTTCATGCCAGCACCAAATGCCGTCAGTTAAAACTTTCTGATTTCTGTGTATTTGCGATCTCTGTGAGGAAAAATAAATAATAGACATGCAATCTACTGTTTTCTTTTGTTTTCTTTCATTTCTTTCATGTTGGTATGTGATGATATGCCCAACTCGGATGTGTCGATATTCGGATAAGTCGATATTTTTTCCTGGTCCCGTAAATATCGAGACAACGGTGTTCGACTGTATTTGTAGTAGCGTTGTAATGTTTCATATTTCATTTACTTTGGAATGCACAATAAATCTATTCATATTATGAACGTTTGCGAAACTATTGCTTGCTAAAAATTGCAAAGTATGAACGATTTGGAGAATTATGTAAATACCTGTAGCATTCCTAACGATCACGCCTTGCTTGTTATAGCTTCAACCTATCGTTTCAATTTTTAAGGTGAAGAAGAACGCCGTCCAGTCTCTGGTTAGTAATGATATAGTTTATATATTACAAGCAGCTTTATGTTAAAGCCCAAGGAATGTCTCCGAAATTCCCATTGATATAGCCTGAAATATGGTGAGGGGAAACTATTATTGTATATAATAAGACCTGGTATTGGCCACACAACGGACAGAATCTTGAACAACAATGGTTTACCCATATATTCTGGCTCAACACGATGGTATCTAGTGAGGTATGTGAATTGTTTAGGAGCTAAACATAGATTTAAAGTTTAGCCATGGTAAATTGACTTTGAAACTGAATACATGGATAAGTTGTAATATGTGATAACTGGTATATGTTTCTGTTATTTTTTGTGTATAATCTGGCAGGTTCTCCCTGTTGCCGTAGCTGTCCCTGTTGTTGTCATCGCCGCCATTGTCGTCATTGCCGCCATCGTTGTGGTTATCAGGAAGAAACGCAAGTCCTTTGCTGAAAAACGGTGGGTTAGTTTAAAAGGTAATTGTTTGTGTGTGTTAAGAGCTAAACAAGGTTAAATTGGGTAGCCTGTGGCATCATTCAAACTCCCGTTATCTGGCCAGTATATCAACGTGGATCTATTTGTATGACCCATGGTTTGACCTCTTCCAGTTGTCACAATTAAAACTTGTATCAGACTAGTACAGCCATCTGATGTCTGATATTCAATCTTTTGAAGGGAAGAGTCCTTGAATATTAACTGGTGATCGTGCACTTCGATTATAAGAGTAAGTGAGTGAGGCAGTATTTCAGCCATATCGTGACTGTACAAGATCTGAAGACATGATGAATACACTGAGATTATAAAACAAACTGTCAACGAAGGACAGAAAAAAATCCAACAGCATATCACAGAAACAGAATTTAAAACTAGTATTCATCTCTAAAATGCAATTTCTATCAGAACGATGCAATGTCAAACACGGGCTATAGGTCGCCACCTGTGAAGAATACTAATCTTCAGTAACCCATGCTTGTCGTAAGAGGCGACTAACGGGATCGGGTGGTCAGGCTCGCTGGCTTGGTTGACACATGTCATCGGTTCCCAATTGCATAGATCGATGCTCATGCTGTTGATCACTGGGTTGTCTGGTCCAGATTCGATTATTTACAGACCGCCGCAATACAGCTGGAATATTGCTGAGTCCTGCGTAAAACTAAACTCACTCACTCACTATAGATCGCCAGCAACTGAAGAAAGGTAACCATGATACTAAGGACCATGGGGACTTACATTACTACCTGCATGGACCCTAGCTGGATTTACACCTTTTTTCAGGCGTTGGCGATTGCACTCAAATTTAGCCAAATGAGTGAGTGAGTTAAGATTTTAAGTCACATCAAATGTAGCCAAAGATCAAAAGATCTTTCTGCGATGAAAGAATGTAGTATGAAAATATCTTGAATGAAACTGGACTTGCATATCCTTTTTGGGGGATGATAATTTGACGCTATTTCACCCCCCTTTGAAGGTATTGCCACTAACAGTCAAAGTTATTCTTCATTCCAACCAATTAAAATGCATTTACTAATGACAACACAACATAAATTTTTTTTAATTAGTTTTCTTTCTTTTTTCTTAAAAAAAGAAGCATTAAATGAGAATGAACTTGATAAAATAAATCAGTTACCGTTTTGACATTGAAATATTTACCCCTTGTAATGTAAAAAATCAATACAGTCAAGCAGGACATGCTTGACCGTTGATCTTTCATCACAAGGGATACAAAACGGAGGATCTTCACCATTCATTAAATATTCATGAGTATACCTTGTGTGGCTAATGCGACATCGTCGCATAATGACCTTTTTAAATCTGGACTGACAAAAGAAGTAGGTGTAACAAATTGTTGGTTGTATTTAATGTAATATATTTGTACTTACTTGGGTGCCCAACTTTATCTTGCATTAGATCACAGATGTAAGATCTAATCATTGATTTATAATCACGGTATGGAATCAGTCGTGTCACAGATTTGTTGAGTGCTGCCTTAACAGCAGTATCGGTGATTGTGTTATAAAAACTCCAACATGGCCTGGTAACCAACAGATAACGATGTCGTATTGGCCAGAAGGAAGATCGTTATATAATTCGATTATTTCGAATAAGATTGGATATTTATATGAGAGATTTTCAATAGCCTGAAAATATGATTTTAAGAACGTTTGGACATGGAAGATTGAAATGTGTAAATGTTCTGTGGAAACATGATTCTGGATTATTTATGTGATGGTCAAAAGAACCAATTTTATATTTTACAGATGTACAACTTACTAAGGATAAAATAATACAGTGTTTGTTCTTTATTACTTACAGCGAAAACAAGGAGCGAATCAGACGAACTAATGGAAGATAAAAGCAAGTCACCAGGTAGGTTCTCGTTTCGTTCAGAAGGTCTTGGCTGAAGGTAGTTAGTCATCACGTATGCTCAATACTAGATATATTTCTGACAATGGATCTCCAGGTCACATTTAAGGATGACAGTACTCGTGACAATGTTATACGGGTGATACGATCATTTGATATCTTATATTCTATCTGTGTAGAGGTAAACATAATTGAAAAGCCTTACTGATCAGTACTGTTTTGAAGTACTTAAAGGTCATTGTGTGCTTCGATTTTAAGGACATTGGGACATACAAGGTTGAAAGGCGTGAACATGATGTGAAAACATGATTCGGGTGTAATTCATTCTGATAAATTCTAGTGGTAAAGAAAATCAGGTATTTTTCAGTTCTACAAAATTAATGCAAAGTGTAAAATCATACATGATGTTTTCTGTAATATTTACAGTGGCAAATGGTAAGGTATCCCATGGCCTGATGAAACAAGAGGATAAAGAAGCTTAACCAGGTAGTTATTGCTTATTTTAGATGTATTTAGAGTATTTTGTTTCTTACAGTTAAATCATGAAAGTACTTGATGTTAGTGTAAAGTTGAGCTTGAGCAAGGTTTCAAATTACAGCACTGGCGACCCATTAGCCATAATTTACTATGCAGAGTTGCGTCCCTTTAGCATGTCAAAGCATCTGTGAAAGTAGGTCAGTCCCGTGTGTATTACTCAGCTATGTGTATGTTTGTCAGCAACATAATCGTGCTCACGTCCAGTGAGTGAGTGAGTATTGCTAAGCGCCGCATTAGCAATTTTGCAGCTATTCGCGGTGATGATCAGTAGGGAAATGCATGACATTAATAATGACATTGTTGATTCATCTGCCTCCGGAATTGAGGAAATTTTGTTTCAAATATAGTGTTTATACAAACGCCTTTCAAATTCAAGTCTGTAGTGTCACAGATTATGACACATATTGTGATTGTCTGAATATTTTCTTGTTCATTTTCATAACTGACGTTTTGTTAACATTCTATGCTGGTACATCGTCATGACATACAAGTCACATTACATATGGTGCATACATCTTTCCGTTTTCTTGCAGACCAACAAAGGTGTACGGATGCACTTCATTTTGACAAGTTAGATCCCACTGCTTTGGGGCAGTTGGCAACATTCACTTACTTCTATATGCAAATGATAGGTGCTAACCCCGAAATCACATGATAACCTGTTTCGTCAACCATTTGATGTCATCACTAATTATCAGTAATTCTTCATATCATTTTTTCCCCCTTGTTATTCTCTTTAACTACGGAAGCGTAGCAGGGCCACGGTAAAAGAAGAATGGTCTCACTATCTCCCACGTAGGACATATTATCTCCTACGTAGGATTTAGTATCTCCTACGTAGGAGATAATGAGACTAAAAAAATTCACATGTGGCCCTACTATGCTTGTGTGTGTAACTCCAAATAGTATCTGTTTCTACAGATCGTATAGACTGATCATGTTTTGGCAATGACATGTTATATTGTTTATTTCTGTCTTTGAATCACTGTCACAAACTGATGATATAAAATGTTCGCGAAAACGTGGTAGTACTTAGAACTTTGAAAACCTCTTCTTATAGTGACCTTTCGATGTAGATTCGTACCCAGTTATCAAGTTAAAATGATTACAACCTAGTTAGGATATATGTATGAGTATGTGCCCATAAGTATTATGCCCAATAATTATAATGAAGCTATGGCTTCAGATGGAATGTCCAGTACATGGAGTATGTTGCATATAGTCTTACTGGCAGCGAGTGCATGTACCCCTACATCGAGTTAACGCTCGAGCCGTTCATGTCTAGTACATGGAGTATCATTTACATATAGTCTCACTGGCAGCGAGTGTATGTACCCTACTTCGAGTTAACGCTAGAGCCGTGTATCTCTAGAGCATGGAGTATCATACAAAGGCAGTGCTAGTGGCAGTGAGTGTATGTACCCCTACATCGAGTTAATGCTCAAGCCGTATATATCTAGTACATGGAGTATCATTTATATACAGTCTTACTGGCAGCGAGTGTATGGACCCCTACATCGAGTTAACGCTCAAGCCGTATCTATCTAGTACATGGAGTATCATTTATATACAGTCTTACTGGCAGCGAGTGTATGTACCCCTACATCCAGTTAACGCTCGTGCCGTGTATGTCTAATACATGGAGTATCATTTATATATAGTCTTACTGGCAGCAAGTGTATGTACCCCTACATCGAGTTAACACTGGAGCCGTGTATGTCTTGTACACGGAGTATCATTCACAGGCAGTCTTACTGGGAGCGAGTGTATGTACCCCTACATCGAGTTAACGCTCGAGCCGTGTATGTCTAGTACATGGAGTATCATTCACAGGCAGTCTTACTAGCAGCGAGTGCATGTACCCCTACATCCAGTTAACTCTCGAACCGTCTATGTCTGTCTAGTTTATGCAGTATCATTCACAGGCAGTCTTACTGGCAGCGAGTGCTCACTACATCGAGTTAACACCCGAGCCTTGTATGTCTAGTACATGTAGTATCATTTATGTACAGTCTTACTGGCAGCGTGTGTATGTACCCCTACATCGAGTTAATGCTCGAGCCGTGTATGTCTAGTACATGGAGTATCATTCATATACAGTATTACTGGCAACGAGTGTATGTAACCCTATATCGAGTTAACACTCGAGCCGTGTATGTCTAGTACATGGAGTATCATTTACAGGCAGTCTTACTGGGAGTGAGTGTATGTACACTTACATCCAGTTAACACTCGAGCCGTAAATGTCTAGTACATGGAGTATCATTCATATACAGTCTTACTGGCAGTGTGTGCATGTACCCCTACTTCGAGTTAACACCCGAGCCTTGTATGTCTAGTACATGTAGTATCATTTATGTACAGTCTTACTGGCAGCGAGTGTATGTACACCTACATCGAGTTAACACTCGAGCCGTGTATGTCTTGTACACGGACTATCTTTCACAGGCAGTCTTACTGGCAGCGAGTGTATGCACCCCTACATCGATATAACGCTCGAGCCGTGTACGTCTAGTTCGTGGAGTATCTTTCATATGCAGTCTTACTGGCAGCAAGTGTATGTACCCCCACTTCGATTTATCTCTCAAACCGTGTATGTCTAGTACATTGAGTATCATTCGTGTACTGTCTTACTGGCAGCGAATGTATGTACCCTGACATCGAGTTAACGCCCGAGCAGTGTATGTCTAGTACATGGAGTGTCTTTTATATGCAGTCTTACTGGCAGCGAGTGTATGTACCCCTACATCGAGTTAACACTCGAGCCGTGTATATCTAGCACATGGAGTATCATTCAGTGACAGTGTTAGTGGCAGTGAGTGTATGTACCCGTACATCGAGTAAACGCTCGAGCCGTGTTTGTCTAGTGCATGGAGTATCATTCATATACAGTCTACCCCGAAGCGAGTGTATGTACAGCAACATCGACTTAACACTCTAGCCGTGTATGTCTAGTACATGGAGTATCATTCAGTGATAGTCTTACTGGCAGCGAGTGCATGTACCCCTACATCTTGTTAACGCTCGAGTAGTGTATGTATAGTGCATGGAGTACCATTCAGTGATTGTCTTACTGGCAGCGTGTGTATGTACACCTACGTACGCTCGAGCCGTGTATGTCTAGTACATGGAGTATCATTTACATGCTGTCTTACTGACAACGAGTGTATGTACCCCTACTTCGAGTCAACTCTCGGGCTGTATATGTCTAGTACATGTAGTAGCATTCATATACAGTTTTAATGGCAGCGAGTGTATGTACCCTGACATCGAGTTAACGCCCGAGCAGTGTATGTCTAGTACATGGAGTATCTTTCATGTGCAGTCTTACTGGCAGCGAGTGTATGTACCCCTACATCGAGTTAACACTCGAGCCGTGTATGTCTGGTACATGGAGTATCATTCACAGGCAGTCTTACTGGCAACGAGTGTATGTAACCCTATATCGAGTTAACGCTCGAGCCGTGTATGTCTAGTGCATGGAGTATCATTTACAGGCAGTCTTACTGGCAGTGTGTGCATGTACCCCTACTTCGAGTTAACACCCGAGCCTTGTATGTCTAGTACATGTAGTATCATTTATGTACAGTCTTACTCGCAGCGAGTGTATGCACCCCTACATCGATATAACGCTCGAGCCGTGTACGTCTAGTTCGTGGAGTATCTTTCATATGCAGTCTTACTGGCAGCAAGTGTATGTAACCCCACTTCGATTTATCTCTCAAGCCGTGTATGTCTAGTACATTGAGTATCATTCGTGTACTGTCTTACTGGCAGCGAATGTATGTACCCTGACATCGAGTTAACGCCCGAGCAGTGTATGTCTAGTACATGGAGTGTCTTTTATATGCAGTCTTACTGGCAGCGAGTGTATGTACCCCTACATCGAGTTAACACTCGAGCCGTGTATATCTAGTACATGGAGTATCATTCAGTGACAGTGTTAGTGGCAGTGAGTGTATGTACCCGTACATCGAGTAAACGCTCGAGCCGTGTAAGTCTTGTAAATGGAGTATCATTCACAGGCAGTCTTACTGGGAGTGAGTGTATGTAACCCTACATCGAGTTAACGCTCGAGCCGTGTTTGTCTAGTGCATGGAGTATCATTCATATACAGTCTACCCCGAAGCGAGTGTATGTACAGCAACATCGACTTAACACTCTAGCCGTGTATGTCTAGTACATGGAGTATCATTCAGTGATAGTCTTACTGGCAGCGAGTGTATGTACCCCTACATCTTGTTAACGCTCGAGTAGTGTATGTATAGTGCATGGAGTACCATTCAGTGATTGTCTTACTGGCAGCGTGTGTATGTACACCTACGTACGCTCGAGCCGTGTATGTCTAGTACATGGAGTATCATTTACATGCTGTCTTACTGACAACGAGTGTATGTACCCCTACTTCGAGTCAACTCTCGGGCTGTATATGTCTAGTACATGTAGTAGCATTCATATACAGTTTTAATGGCAGCGAGTGTATGTACCCCTACTTCGATTTATCTCTCAAGCCGTGTATGTCTAGTACATTGGGTATCATTCGTGTACTGTCTCACTGGCAGCGAGTGTATGTACCCTGACATCGAGTTAACGCCCGAGCAGTGTATGTCTAGTACATGGAGTATCTTTCATGTGCAGTCTTACTGGGAGCGAGTGTATGTAACCCTATATCGAGTTAACGCTCGAGCCGTGTATGTCTAGTGCATGGAGTATCATTTACAGGCAGTCTTACTGGGAGTGAGTGTATGTACACCTACATCCAGTTAACACTCGAGCCGTAAATGTCTAGTACATGGAGTATCATTCATATACAGTCTTACTGGCAGTGTGTGCATGTACCCCTACTTCGAGTTAACACCCGAGCCTTGTATGTCTAGTACATGTAGTATCATTTATGTACAGTCTTACTGGCAGCGAGTGTATGTACACCTACATCGAGTTAACACTCGAGCCGTGTATGTCTTGTACACGGACTATCTTTCACAGGCAGTCTTACTGGGAGTGAGTGTATGCACCCCTACATCGATATAACGCTCGAGCCGTGTATATCTAGTACATGGAGTATCATTCAGTGATAGTCTTACTGGCAGCGAGTGTATGTACCCCTAATTCGAGTTAACGCTCGAGCCGTGTATGTCTAGTGCATGGAGTATCATTCATATACAGTCTTACTGGCAGCGAGTGTATGTACAGCAACATCGAGTTAACACTCGAGCCGTGTATGTCTAGTACATGCAGTACGATTCAGTCATAGTCTTACTGGCAGTGTGTGTATGTACACCTACATCGAGTTAACGCTCGAGCCGTGTATGTCTAGTACATGGAGTATCATTTACAGATAATCTTACTGGCAGCGAGTGTATGTACCCCGACATCGAGTTCACGTTCGAACCGTGCATGTCTTGTACATGGAGTATCATTCATATATAATCTTACTGGCAGCGAGTGTATGTACCCCTATATCAACTTAACACTCGAGGCGTGTATGTCTTGTACATGGAGTATCAATTACATACAGTCTTACTGGCAGCGAGTGCATGTAACCCTACATCGAGTTAACGCTCAAACTCTGTTTGTTTAGTACATGAATTATCATTTATGTACAATCTTACTGGCAGCGACTATATGTACCCCTATATCGAGTTAACATTCGAGCCGTTTATATCTTGTACATGGAGTATCATTCATATATAGTCTTACTGGCAATGAGTGTATGTACCCCTACTTCTAGTTAACGCTCGAGCCGTGTATGTCTAGTACATGGAGTATC